TGCGCACTCCTCAAATCTGCATCCATTGCCGAGTGTTCGTAGGATTTTAAGTTTTTAAGGTTTAGGGTTTTCAGGGTTTAGGTGGTTCTTTTTGGGTTGAGATTTTTAAGGTTTAGGGTTTTTAGGGTTTAGGGGAGGGGGGAGGGGGGGGGGTGGGCCAAATACTGCACTTGTCAACAGTTCGGGACCAAAAGTCACAACTAAGCAAAGAAAAATACAGCTAAGCAAAAATAAAAGTTACAACTAACCCAGCTACCCATTTGACAAACTATGATAGACTTGGTTTTCGTTTATGTTTATGTATGTGTATGTACATAGTAGACAAGCGTTTTCGGACAACCCCCACATGCTTAGGGCCGGACACTCATCGTTGAGCTCGGCAACTTTAGGCGACCCAGTGTCCATGACATTGGACTCGGGCTGAACGGCATTGGCCTGAGACACGAAATCGCAACGATGCTTAGCGAGCTAGCAAGCATCTGCATAGAAAAACGCCCCATGCGCCATGAAGTGGAATCGGAAATCTGCTTGACATCTCACTGTGAATCCTCAGTGCCTCTACGACAAACCGCGGGATTATCCTGACATAATGTTCTTACTGTCCATACCTGACTTACCTGACTACTAGCAACATCTTCGCCTTGATTGAACTGGTTCAAGCAACCTCTGAGGAAATCCAGGCAGGTTCACGGAATCTTGCTGGTTTGATTTCGTGAGATTCCGCTGTGCACACTATGACAAAGGCGCCATACTTCACGTTTGATACCAAGTTCTGCCTACACTTCAACTTCGCAAAGCTGGCGTGAGATTCTGATGAGCATCCTGGCCTCCACCTTGTCCTCGCGCCGAGCAACAACGCGTGCCCTAATGGCAGTGAACCAGTAGATGAGCACAGCGACTGAAAACAGAGACTGATCAGCAACTGAATCACGCTTTCCCTCTTCAACAAGCACATCTGCAGCCCCTGCTACTTGTAAGACTTCAGCAGGTAACCTATTAAACTTGGATGAAGACTCCGCTGGCCTTGCCTTTTCCTCGCTTGCCGAACTGTGTCCAGAACCTCGTCAACATTTGCAGGGCTAGGGCTCTCCTCAGGGCTTTCCTTGAGGCTCAGTAAACTGGCCATGCTTGCCCATGCCAATGCCACGAGAGCCGTGCCAGGTATGCAGCGACCAAAGCTATGACAGCAACCTCCGAAGTTTTGCAACTCTGTGACAAACACGCTCTAACGTTGACACACGACGCATTTCAAATGCTCAGGAGAGGACCAAACCACCGACAGCCACCAGCACTATGGTGAAGGTCAGCGTTTGTTCTGAGCAGAGGTGAGAAGCTTACCGTCATTTTTCGCTCGCGCAGAGAAGCTGAAACGTCATGATGCAATAAGCCAGTAAGCCTTCCGTGTCATCCTCAATCTGGGACACGATTTCTTCCTCAAGGCGCTTCAGTGCTTGCCAGCTTCACTAATAATCTATTGCATCACGTCGTCAGTCACCAGTTCGAAAGAGCAGTGCTCACCACATGCCTGGCATGGCATTCTTCATTCCAAGCCCGCCGCTGCGTCAGTCTGGAAGATGTACACGCCACGCTCGATGCCTGAGGGCTGGCCGAATAAGCAGAAGATCAAACTTTCCGACCTGTTTGCAGCCTGCTGTGCCATGTAACGTCGCTGCCTGCTACCAGCTGGGGAAGCTGAGAGGGAGGCCCGAGAATGGGTTGTTGGCAAGGTCGCTGATTGTCTGCAAGCGGCACTACAGCTGGTGATGTTGCTCCAGCATGCAATGGGCCAAGTTTGGTCTGCACTAAGCCTTGGATGGGATTGTCAGCGAGTAGTACCTGCAAACTTGTGTATATATGAAGCTCCATGCACAGCCTTGCAGAAGCTGAGGTTCCTGGCGTACTGGTGCCGAGACGCCCAGACAACTCCACATGCAAGGTGCGACGCGTGTTCCTGTCAATGGCCACCGCCTAGCAAAACTTCAGGGGTTTTCTGAGGTCAGGAGCTGATCAGATTGCTTCATGGTTTTCATGGCCTTATCCCATACCGAGATCTCTGCAATCTTCACATCCGCCGTGCGATCTAGCAGGTCCAGGCATGCACAGGGGCCCTCCCACTAGCCTTGTGAGTACATTACAGCGTCCATCTGTGCTGCTGGCCAGTTTGGTTGCCACCAAGGATGTAGAGCTCAAGCATGCCACTTGCATCTTGGTCTTTCATAAATCACATCAGCCAGCAAAGCATCCTCACCAGACCCAAACTGAACGGACCTCTCCCAAAGGGGTTACACCAATTGGACGGGACTTCAGGACCCGGCAGAATTTGATGTCCTCGTTGAAGTGGAAATGAACTGTCGTGGTCTCAGCATGGCAAGGCTCTGCATGGATGTTATGCGGCTGCAACTTTCCTGGAGCTTATCGGATGTGAAGTCACGCAAGTCTCATCAGAACTGTTCCAGTTGGTTGATGAGGCTGAGGCAACCGGCACACCTCGCGCCTCATGCCAGTAGAAATTAGCAGCACAACTGGTGCCATGCTTCTTCAGTCCAAGTCAAACCGCTCAACTGAGCAGAAGGCACTGTTCAACGGATCAAAGGTTATCACCTTGCAGGAAGCATCAAAACTGATGAGTGTCACAGGGATCCAGCAAGTACCGCGTGTATCAAGCTGGTTTCAAAATGCTGCGCAGCCTCCGGCGGGATACCATCTGGGATCGTCACGAAGATGTTGTTATCCTCATTGGAAACAACATCGAGCTGACCTCGCCCTTTTGATGTGTCTACAGCGTCTACATGCTTCGGCCTTGTAACCTTTGATGACTTGCTGCCCAATTCATGGAGAAGCATGCACCTGCCTAGCCTTACCATTTCCGGTGGGCTCTCAACTCACATTTGTGCATGCATGAAAACATAGGTTGGCGATCGAAAAATCCAAAAAGGATCTCGCAGCGAGTTCAAGCCTTGCAGGCGCAACTGTTTTTGCAACTTGGTTGTCGCAACATGCTGGACTGCTGTCGGTTTTGACATGTGGTCGTCGCCAAGCGCAGAACTGTCGCCGTTTTTAGTGTGTCCATGGCTGCAGACCGCTGTTGGAATGGTCGTTGAGTGGTCTTGGGCTGCTTTTGGTCCCCTACAGTGTTGTGTGCTTTTTCTGCCAATGCGGAGGGTTTAGGCTTATGGCAGCGGCGCAGTCCCCACTTGTTAATTACTAAGCACGGACGAAGATGAGGAAACGTACTTTTTGCTGAAGATGCCATGAAGGGTCACCAGGCACAGCCGAAGCCAAAAATGGGGAAACGGACCCTAATAATGCGGATGTTCCCGCTTCTCCTTTGCCACTAAGCTGCCCGCGCATGCTGGGCCAGGCCTGATAGGTCTATGATCGTTGGATGCTGGAAAAACGGAGGCTATCACGAGTTTTCGCGAGTTCTATGACATGATGCGTTTGGGAGGCATTTCTACGGAAATATTGTAAGGAACTGTTGATAAGTGGGGCGGCGCGCACTCCCTGAATGCGAGCATCAATAGCACAATGGGGGGTCTGTTTTGCCGCCCTAAGGGCACAATTACACCCATGTATTCTAGGCTTCTCCCAGCACACGGTGGGAGTTTTGAAGGATTTTCGGTGCCCCCAAACCCCCAAAGATCATGAGCGCGGATTCTAGCCCAAAAGCCTGCCGAAGGGGCCTAGGCCAAGAAAAGTTTGGACTGAAGGACAGGCCAAGGGGCACAGGAGGGCCAACAAATGGAGAATAGACCTCCCAATGATGATGATGCAGCATCATCAGCATAGCCTGAGGTCCGTTTCGCTTTTCCAGGCCATACTATACTTCTGTCATTCACCAAAACTGTTCCGACCATTCCTGCTTCGACTATGATGTACGTCTATTATGGTTTACTTCTTGTACTGTTAGGTACTGCGCTTGTTACCTTGTTAGTTGCTGCGCCTGTTACTGTTGTTATTGTTCTTTTGCTGTGACCTACAAAAGCCGGCCCCTGCCGGTAAGCCTAATTTCGGGCAACGCCTGGGGAACGCCCCAAAAAAGCATCCTGAGCACAGAGGTTTTGCAAACTAGTCCAAGGCCCATCCAAGCCGAGCTGACAGGCTTTCAAGGTTTGAGAGGGTCTGCGAGGGTGCAGGAAGACCTCAGATTGGATAAGGAGGTGCGCGCCCTCCATAACTTTCTTTTCACATTGCCTGCGTTGCCCGCCCCTGGCGCAGCCCCTCAAATCATACTTGAAAAATAACAAGAACAGCTAGAACAACTGTAGTCCTTTGTGCATTATTCCGCGAAAATGGATATTCTTTTGTTTCCTTTGTTTCTCTTTGCCTTTGTTGTGTTTCTTGTTCTTTCTCTTGCCGGCCGTATGCTTCTGGGCTCCCACCTTATTCTTCCTTTCTTACTTCCTGTCTGTCTTGGGAGGACTATCTGCAGCCTTTGAGGACCTCCAAATGGTGGTTTCTGCAGCTTTGTTCAAACTGCTGTTGATCCCCATCAAGTTTTGGTGTATCCCTATCGAAGTTCTTGTTGATCCCTATCTATGTTTTTTCGATGGCTCTCCCAGGGGAAAATAAGTGGTCTTGCATGTTTGTTCGACATCGGCCTAAGTTTGAGTCCGTGTCAACCTTGTCTAGCTCTTCTGGCAGCCCCCTCTGCAGTACCATTAGCACCTTTCCCTAGGCATCCTCCAAGCCACTGAAAGGGAGTAGCGCCGCTGAACCGCGTACCTGAAGCTTCGTGCAAAATCGAATGAAGCGCAGCATCATCTCCGCAGCAAGAAGGGGCACCGCGTTATTCGAGATCACCTTTTTTGCAAACGCATGGCCATCATGCCAGGCCATTCACCGAAGTGATGCTTTGCTAAGACGACTGAAACGAATTCAAGGACTCACCTTCCAAGTAAGCCGAAGCGACAAGATCACAGTCTCGGGTCTCATCGTTTGGCAGCCCCTGGACGTTGATGTGAAGAACATTGCCATCGATGTCCTGAAGACTGCTTCGCCCACAACATCCTCCCCGTGCTGCTGCACTGCATTGCACTGCACTGCAAGAAAGCCAAAGCCCTGGGCCAGCTTCCCATACTCCAGCTCAAACGTTGGTGCCCAGTCTCCCCTCATCGAAGCCAAGTCAACTATCAGCCAAGCGGGCTACTTGAACAACTCTGAGCCGTGCACGGCCTCTTGGACCTGCACCTTGGCATTCGCCAGGAAGCGTGCAGTTTCCCTGAGTAGGGCAGCTGCATAAGGTTGCCAGGCGCCTTGCTGCATCATGATGCCGGAGCCGATGCCTACGTCAATGGAGGTCTAATCACCCAGTCACTGGATTCCGCCGCAGCCCAGAGCCCGCCTATGTGGAGAAACTCGATCTCCCTGCCAAAGAGTCACAACTTCATCTCATGAGCTGGTGTCGTGTCCAACTCTAAGCAGAGCAGGCTCCGCACCTGTCAAAGGTCAAGTTGATCCACCAGCCAACCTCCTCCCTCGGCAGGAGCAAGCTTTAGCGATGCTATGCATGATCCCCACAAGGTCAAAGTTGACAGTTTGAAAGTTGCCATATCTTCCCTGTCTATACTAGCTCAGGGGTTGACTGCCCCATCACGGCAAGGTTTTCGGGCTGCTTGCTCCTGACCTTTCCGAAGGCATGGGTAAACGGTTCGCATATGTCGCTTTCAAAATGCAGCTCATGGAACAAGGCTGAATTAAGGGCGCTTGAATGGTGGACGGCTGAGTATGCAACGCATCGGCATGCAAGAAGACAAAGAAAGCTCAAGCGGAGTACTTCAGAGAAACAGTTTGGGTGATGCATCAAAAAGCACCACCAAGCACACGCTTTCAGTGGACATTCAATCCTCAGGATGACAAACCAGGGCCCACAATGGAAGAACAACCTGCTTCATTAGGTGTGCAACAAGGAGGTGGGACAGGAGACTCCCGAGGACAGGCACGCTGGACCCTAAAACTCTACATCTGGCCCAAACCCAACTTTTCGAGCCAAAAGGGGGGCGGGGGGTGGGGGGGGCAGAACAAACCTCAGCAGTTACGGCAGCAAAAGTCAGACTGTGGAGGTCCAACCTCCGGCAGGCTGCAGAAGTACTGCCGAGGACATGCGATGCCTTGGCTTCTCAGTCACTGCTTGAGCACGTCTCTTTATTCCACCTCTAGAAGGCTCTCTGGTGCACACTTCCCCTCAAAGACCTTCTTGCCGTTTCAATCTTTCAGGCAGCTGCAGGACCATGCCACCATCATCAGCTTGTAGAGCGCCGCAGTATATTTGCTTAAGCCAAGGAATTTTGGGGAGCTGGCAGGGCGTGCTGGCCGTGACGTCGAAGAAGCAACGACTTCTGGTCTGGCAAAGGCTTGGCATATGGGGCATGCCTTTTCTAGCACTGAAACTCACTTCACAAGCTTCCCCTGCTCTGTCTTGATGCTGAGCCATAGATTGCAAGCACAATGTGCCGGCCACACCATGTCCCAGTTGCATCCACCCCCGCGCAGTACGCAAGCCTGCAAGCCCAATTCGCAGCAGCGCAGCTGCCCCCACAGATTCTCACACAATCGTGGCAATCCTTCCATGCAAATCGCAGCTCACAAGAAGCTTGGTCCCCCACACACGGTGTTGACTTCATCTCGCACTCTTTCTCGGGCGTGATGACGCATTGAGGCTAGCAGACAGCAACGCGAAACTGTATGTCCAGGGTTCGTAAAGCCGCGCAGACACCGCCGAGCCTGATTTAGGCATGCCTCGCATGGCACTCCAGGTCGGGCAGTGTACACCTTCAGGCGTGTGAAGCTCCCCCCAGCCAGTAGCGTGAAACTCTTCTGATTTACAGAGCCAGCTTGCCGCCCTGTGCTCCACGACTTAGTTGCGCGCACAACGAGGCACTCCACTGACGCCTGTCACCTCGAAGCCATGGGTTCTTGGCAGGTGCTTGATAGCAGCACGAGTAGGCACGAACTCCTGAGGTCAGGTCCCACTCGCAGTTCGCGAGAGCTGCACAAACACATGGGTTGCTGCCAGCCTCGGAGATCACAAGCACGGAAGAGGTGAAGTCTTTGGTTGAGTGTAACTTGCCCATTGCGTTCTACTGACTTGGAGCACTGCCTATCCTTCACAAGTACAATGGCCACTGGCTAAGATGCTTGATTTAACGCTGAGAGGAGGCTGGGCAAGCGCCCCATACCGAAGAAAAAGAAAGCACGTGTAGCAGATTGGCCAGAAATTGTCGGTCTCAAGCTCAAGCTTTTGACGCAAGCAATGTGGCTGATATATTCCTTTCAGAAACAGCCGTTCCCAATCCTGCTAAGCAATTGCTCTGAGCCCAGCGGCCGCATTGCAGTCTCCGACCTCGTTGAGGTCAAATTCACCTGGCAGGACTCGGCTCCAGCTCTTGAACGGTTGATGTTGCGAAAGTCTGGGCTACAGGGATCCGAAGAAAGCTGTAGAGCACTGTAGAGGTGTGGGGTCGGGTCCAGGCCCAGGAATCCGGGGAACCAAGCTCCTGAATAACGGCTGGCCCAACAACGAGCCGAGTCTACTAACCGCGCTACTAGCTCTGCTGCAATGCACCAAAGCCGACAAGAGGCTTTCCTAACAGCTCCAAAGAATACTGGTAATTGCGGTCCTGAGCAACATGAGCGCATGATGACGACTCGGGCACACTGCTAGCAAAATAAATCGCAATCCATTGCATGTACAGCGACACACGACTTTTAAACTTTTAATTACATGCAATCCCTGTACAACAATACGTCATCAGCGCTATTGAGCGTTTAGCCGTTAGCCATTCTTTGGAAATCTGAACAGACAGGGGATCCCACCTTCCAGGTTAGGCTGCCAGGTGATACTGTCAGATCCAAGGCACTCGGGCCTCAGCAGAAGCTGGTCCAGTTTATTGCTGTTTGTATGCTATGTCGCCTGCGTATGGCGACCCCGCAACTGTTGTGAGACACTTCTGACTTGCTAAATGAATTAAGACTGCTGAGTGCTCACAACATAGCATAAGTACAACAGGGCTCGCCCCATGACGGATGGAGGATGACATGCAAAATAAATGCATCAGACTGCGCTAAGGCTCTCTCTCTTCCGTAGGGAAGACATCAATGCTCCTGCTGTGGTTCCAATGCTTGATTACCTGGCATTCAGAATTCAAACGCTCAAACGACTAGCTGTTGGCCATGACACGGTAACAGAGCCATTTGATCACCAGCTGGTATCCAAAACCGCTACCCAAACTAGCATAACGTTGTGCAAGCCAGCTGCACCTGTCGCTCATCGCAAGACATGTTTTGAAGGCTCAGGGTCCACCCAGTCATGTTGAGCAGCCTGGCCAGTCTTCCGTTATAGCTCACACCTTGGCTCTGAAGTTGCTTGCACAGGCCTTGTTGGCGGGTGCTGGCGCATCTCCGCTTCGAAAAGCGCCCTGATAAAGACTCAAATGATTCAGCATGGATCCTGAGGCCCACTTTTGACCTACTGAGTTTCGCCGTAAGACACTATACGTGCTAAGCAGATTGGATAGAATCTCTGAATTGATTCACGAGCTTGAGAATGGCTCGAGACCTGTGGGAGTGCCTGATAGGCGGAGCGGGAAACTTGTCAAAGGGAGGCTCCTTGGGCCCGAAACTGACCTTGGCAGGGTCACGCTGGATGTGGATGGTATCATCCACAGCAACACTCTTCCTTCCAAAGGACTGGGCCATGGCCAGTCTATTAATACCTCAGCGCAGCAGACACACGACTCGGGTATGACACACCCCCTCTCTGGGCAGCTCCAGCTGCATGCAGGCAAGGAGCAGTCCTTGCCAGCCTTGGCTGCAAGAGTTGTCCCTTCGAGCTTCGCACTGCATCACATGACTTCAAAAAACCACAGTCTTGATCCAGGTAGCCTCGATGGGAGGCAGCATCTGCCAGGTGTAATTCATGCCTGAAAGCGAGCTCAGGGACAGTACGACAAACGCATACTTCAGAACAAGAAATGAGACTCTGGGATGCCAGGATATCTTATCCAGGAGGGTCTGGGTAAGATACCGTCACTAATAAATATCTTCCGGCCCCTCCATGAGTTGAGCTTTAGAAACGCGTTGTTTGTTAGGGGCATAGTGTTTTTTGCCAGGGCCGCGTGGCCGCGAGGCCGCGAGTCGCAAGGCGAGGCCACGCCCCAAGCCGCGGGCCACGGGCCGCGAGAAACGATCAACCCTAAAACGACAACACCGTAAGAAGCCTTCAAACGCCTGCAAACCACAAACCCTAGGAACACTAAACCCTGAGAAGCCTAAACCCCAGCAGCCCCTTCTTACTCCAAAAACCCTATACCCTACGAACGCTGAATCGGTGAAAGCCCAAACCCCAAGAGCCCTAAACCCGAAAAACCTAAAAACACAAACCTTGAATGTTTTCAAATAACACTAAACCCTAAAAACCTAAACTCTTAGAACACTAAACCTTAATAAGTTTAAAATCCTGAAAACCATTTAGCCTGAAAACCCGGCCCTAAACCCTAACAACCCTAAAACCCTTAAAGACTGGCAACTTAACAACCGTGAAAATACCTACAGCCGCAAAAGCTAAAACACCAACAACTCTAAGAACCTTAAACACCCTAAACCCAAAACTTACTGAAAAAAACAAACATTGTAAAACACAAAAAACCCGAACAAAACTTCCGTCCGAAACCCGAAATCATGAAAACACCAACTCCAAAAACCCTACACCCAAGACACCCTGAACACACCAAATGCTAGAAACCTTAGGAACCCTGAACCCGCAAAGCCCTTAGCCTTTAAAAACCTAAATCCTTAACCTTAAAAAACTTCAAATCCTGAAAACACTGAACCCTGAAAAACCCTAAACCCTAAAACCCCTAAACCCTAAAACCCCTAAACCCTAAAAACCCTAAAAACCCCAAACCCCCGAAATAACTGTGAATGCAAACCCTATTTTAAGGAGCCCAAGTCTGAAAGAACATTGTCATTGTCTTGGGTTTGCTTAGCTATCTGGACGGCGTAATAGCGCCCTTTGGAAATTCAAACCTACAGCCATCTAAGCTTTTGATTGAGCCCATGTTCAAAAGTGCGTTGTTTTGCGGTTGCATGGCTATCTGGAAGCCGAGATAACGCGTTTTTTGATTTGAACCCTGTTTCCAGGCAAGGGTTAAGGATTGAACCCAAGTTCGAAAGCGTTGTTTTAGCGTCATGTAGCTAGCTGGAATCTGAAATTTCCCGCTGGTGAGCTTCAGCCTTAAATTAGTGTGTTGGATTTAGGAATGTAAGGGTTCTCGAGTAGCAGCCTGGAAGCCAGCTACACCCCAAGTTGAAAAGCGTGCTCTCTTTTTGAAGCTGAGAAGGCCTTGAGAATGTTGAAGGCAGGTGGGGCCCAGCTACTATATAGTAGTTTCCATGTTCTACATGAAGCCAAGGGCTGGAGGCTTGGAAGCCAGCTAGAAATTAAGTTCAAAAGTACGTGGCCATGGGCTCATTTACATAGGTTTTGAACTTGTTTCGCAGAGGTGCCATGTTCCAGTGTGCAGAGACTTCCAAGACTTTCCACAGTCTTCAGGGCTTTCCAGGCCTTTGGGGCCTTCAAGCCAAAAGGAAGCGGAAGGGCGGCCCAAAGGCCACTTTAAAAGCACCCTGTTTTGGGGTTCATTAGGCAATGTGAACCTGAATAGCGCGCTTTTGAACGTTGACCCCTGGAGGGCTTCAGAATTGTCGGGAGCCTGTACAATCTCAAGATTTTGAGATGTTCAGGTCTCAGCAGAACTTTGGCGTTTCTGAACAACCTGATCCCCTGAAACAATAACAATGATAATTTGCTTAACGTGACGACAGGAAATAACCGCACAGGCCTAAGCGCTTCTGCCCCACCGTGCGCACATCCTTGGACTGAGATCAGAAACTAGTGGGACCAGGACCACCAATGCCTGAGGTTCCAGCAACGTACATTTTTGTAAGTGTTGGTGCGCCAGCTGTGCGCTCAAAGTTTTTGCAAACTTTGCCTAAGCGAACTGCTCCCCACCAAGCCGACAGTCCGTGTGTCGAATCAGTGCTGCGACAAATTTCTGGCGTTCCTGAAGCCTCTGTAAGGAGGCCACCTACAGTCTCCTGCACAACAATGTCGAGGTCTCCTGTCAGAAGGACGCGGCTCAGGTCTCACCAAAACATGCGGCAAGTACCCGACTTTCTTCTCGGCAGCTTAGGTATTCGCAGCATGGGCCACAGAAGCGTTCCGTGGGATATCTTTAAATGATGCTGATGAAGCATTAATATGCTGCTCAGGGAGCTATTAGTGGCATCAAATCCAAGACCCACTCCTGTAGTTAGCAGTTCTGTGTCCATCTCACCATAGATGAGGAACACTCCGCTAACCACCTGTCAAGGTGGGGCCATATGGTTGCTGACATTTCTGCTCAGCAGAACACATCAGCAGCCAACGTGATCTGACAGCGACCTCCTCTAAAGACGTCACGGTGCCCTCCCCGGGGAGACCAAAGTCCAAGGCCTCTTCTTCCTGACATGTTGCGGGTCAACAAGCTGCAAGTACTCAGTCCAACAGTCCTGCGCTCCATCGTCCTGGCCAACACATGGTGCCAGAAGCGTAGCTGCAAGGAAAATCCTTGGACCAAGCCGGGCAACTCAATGATACAAAAACTCCGCCTGCAAACATGAGCCCCCAACTGGAGTAGCCAGAGTAACCTAACCTGCAGAGTAGTGCTGAAGGTCGAAATACTACCCGTAAAAGCATGGCAATGCTCATGCTGCCTTGGTCTCAACACCATTCCTCAGAAAGCTTGCATTGCGAGGCAACGGGAGCACAGCTTGTTCGCTCCTGACCTCATCTGAGGCTCTGGGGACAAGGCGTGCGAAGGTGCCGGCACGACATTGGCTCCAGCCTGGTGAATACGATCAAAGGGATAAAACATGACAAAAGTGCTGGTTGGCTGGGCCCACTACGGCATCGTGCCAGGTTGCGAACGCTCGCATCCTGCTAGATCATCATGACAACTGCTTCCTCGAGCTTCTTGCCAACAGCTGTTGAAGAGTGGCCAGCTACTAGCCTATAAAGAGGTTGAGATGCTGCGTGATGCTGCCACCCAACCATCGCCAGGTCTGAACTTTGAGCTTGCCATAAACTCACATTCATGTTCTGCATGTCTGCGGTCTTTGCGGCTTAGCCGCAAAGCCCTAAAGGAAGTTCGAACCGAATGAGCAGGATCAAGCGCCCTCAGCTGAAGAACACCGTGCCAACCAACACGCTGTTCAAGTCTAGTCATGAATTCGAGCACAAGGCTCCGGAGTTGGCATGGGGCAAGGCCCAAGAAAAAGCAGACATTATCACTTGTACGACAGCCTTCGCACTCCCCTGGTGAAAGGAGACTCTTGTTTCAAGTCTTGGCACAGTCACCTTGAGCACGCAGGCTTGTGCTGCCACACCAATGAATCACATGACGGCTGACATTGAGGAATCTGCAGTAGACCAGTTTCGTCACTGCTTCTTCTTCTCTTTGTCATTTGTTTGTTTGTCTGGCTCCTGCTCCGTCGCCTGCACGACTAAGCCAAGGATGTGCTCAAGCGAAAGATGTTGCAACAAGCCAGGAGCTCCAAGAAGTTCTGCGGCCACGGCTCCATGCTGGAGCCAAGCAGATACAATGCCTTAGTGTACGAGCGAGTAGGGAGTGAGAGCAGCCAGCAGCCTCTTCAAGTCCTGGCTACGCAACACCGTCGCCTTACATCGCCTTACAGCATGCGGTCTCGGCACTACTGCTCCTTGCCCTATGGTCATACTTGTAGCATCCATCCCATCCATGCTCGAATAGTCTGGCTTGTCAGGTGAGCTATCACGTGTCAATGCAACAAAACTAAGCGCAAGTCTACACCGATGAGGATGAAGATCACCTAGGCATCGGTGTTGCAACCGACAAACAAGGTGCTAGATTCAACTTTAAAAACCTTCCTGTCCAGCGAGTATGCCAGCACACTTTTCCATTCCTTACGCCTAGGGCCTAGGACTAAGAATTCGAGATGTTTGCGGAAGCGGTCGATCATGGCATAGTTGCCAGGTACACAAGTGCTACTTGCATCTACTTGTATGAGTGCTGGTCCCAGAGGTAGTCAAAGAGCAGATGTCCTGCTAACTTGCATCCTAGACGCAAAGTATGTGATCGACAAGGAATTTCCTCTTCCAACACCACGAGCACCGCCACCGCAGCAGCAGCACCACGCACCAGCAGCAGCACCAGCACCACTACCACATCAAAAGCCACAACCAACGCAACCAGCAGCAGCAGCACCACCACCACCACCAGCAGCTGTACTGCCAGCCACAACTGCTTTAAGATCCCCTATCAACCTCTAGCAGGTGGTGAGACAGGGATTCAAAAAGCTTTACTCCAGCTGCGTGCAAGCCAGGCACGGCTAGGAATTGGTACTCAGTGAGGCCCAGCAGGTAGTCGCTGGGAGGGTGCCTGAGACAAAACACACGTCTCACACACCCATGTGACAACAGGGAAGCAAGAGGGCCTTCGGAAAGGTTCCACAAGCATGCGCTCCAGGCCATACAGCGAGAGTGTAAGCGCACTGCGGAGGCCTCAACAAAGGACTTCCACGCCTTTGTGCCACTTGGGCTCCGAGAACACACAGAGGCTCTCAAGTAAGGCAAAGCAGGGGAAGTGGCCTACACGACGCTTCGAGCCGCCTATCCTGGGCAGCGCCACTGCAAAGTGCAGGAACAGGAAGAGGGCCTCAGCAAAGCACACCCTCGAGAAACCAGGCCCCAGGCATGCTGTTCCTGAAGTGTCTTAGCTCCCATCCATGGAGAGTGTACTTTCGTAAAGCGGTGTTGGATGAACGGGTTCCCTCCTAGGCTTACCAGGATTAAAGAAAAGTCTCCAGCAGGACACAACAAGGCAAAACCCAAGCAAAGGACGTGGGCACCAAGCCGTTTGGGAAGGACATCGCCTCAGAAACTGTGCTCTGCGCAGAATTGGCTCTTTTTGAAAACAGGCGAGGCTGCCGCCCAGGGAGCGTCTGCTCTCGTTCTGGGTCCGAAGCAACCATCCCCGGACCTCATACACTCAGCTTCGTTTGCATAGGTCTTCTGAACAACAAAATTACCTTACGATCTCGCAAAGCCAATGTGCGATGCACTTTGCATGCCATTTACTAGGCCGACACTACACCGTACATGGCATGCTCTACGAGCCGATGATTGAGGAACAAGCAGGAAACAGCCGATCTTCCCAACGGCGTGGCCTTTGCGAGTCTGTGTATCTGCATTCAACATTGCTTGCCCTAGCTCTGGCTTCGCCTCGCATGCCTGATGCGAGTGGAAAAATGGGAAACACTCTTCGTCGTTTCAAGTCAGGATCTGTCCGCTGCTTGTTCCAGCAAGTCTTTTCTGCAACGAGGCCAGATTAAGCTCAGTGCCCAGAGGAACCAGTGGAGCAATAAGGTCTAGCAGGACCAGTGGCCTCCGCAAGAGCAAGACAATCAAGCACAAAAGAGCCTACGCATTACATACACTTCGTTTTTGTTTGCTTTCTTCTGCCAGCTCTTCAAGCGACTCTGTGACACTCCATCTCTCCACTTCTGCTTTCCTTCATCATCTTCATCACAGTAGTACGAGCTTGGGTGCCGGTCAGGATACCATATCTGCTTCTCATCTTCTTGTCATTCTTTCGGGCTTATCCCTGCATCTGTCCTGTCCTCTTTCTTGCCAAGCACTTGTGCCACGGCATGCAAACTCACCAGTGCTCTGGCAAGTCTGATAGGCCGCTGGTGTAGAGATATTCACGAAACCGTCCGTGTGTCACTGTCGGACTGGCAGCGCTGGCGGGCAACAGATAGCGCAGAAAACACTAGCGAACTCTAATTGAACGTGAAAATCTCGAGTACTTCTGGAGGCTCTCCACCCCTGAGCAATTCTCAGCTGCTTTCCCAGTTTGGAGTGCCTGCCAGCCGCAAGCTGCATGTTCGTAAGACTGGAAGGGCCTGAGGCCGCACCACCAGCCGTAGGCTGAAGCTGTCAGAAGGCCCCCAATGGCTGAGCCCATAAACGAATGGCCTGCGCGATAGCACGCTTGGTTATGCAGCAGAGACATGGAACAATACGGAACACTTGACGTCTTACACCATCCCCTTCTGGCCTGTCTCAAGCGACATGTTAGGAACTGCACCACCGGCAGCCAGTGCCGACACAAGAAGGTGCACCTCGCGGATCGGGGCCAAGCAGAACGACAAGCGAAAGGAAGATGTCTCTTTCAGCTGGTGAAGGTTGATGTCACATTTGCAGAGCTCTGCACTTTTGATCCAGCGCCAAAGCCTGGAATGAAGGCCAACATCATCAAGGCCTGTGAGTGTTGCTGTGACTTCACTGGCGGCTGCATGTCCTGGAGGTAACTTCCATGGGCTGCAGCCAGGCTGCCCCATCCGCCGTGATCTGGAGACGCTTGAGCTCCATCTCCAGGACAACCTGATCTACACATACTCTAAACATGCTAGAGATTAGACACATCCAAGGACATGAGTATTGTAAGGCTGAGCTTGCAGCCACGCACGACGCAAGTGCAGCTGCAATGAACACGCCATATGTATAAACCTTCAGGGAGCATGAACCAGCAGCAACAGCAGCAGCAACAACAACAACAACAACACAACCGGTGGGTGTGAATTCAGGGTGCACAGGTTGTTTCTGGCAGTGACCTTTTGGAAGTTTCCTCGCTAAGGAACCATGCTGACAAGGGCAACCGTGCAGCATCAACGGCCCTGAACCCTCAGCCAGGTCAGACTGCCTTCCTCAATCTGGGAAGGGTTGTTCTTGCGATTGTCTGCGATTTTAACATAGTATAGAAAGGTCCTTCTCAGCACAGGGACTGCCCTGCATTGCTGTGGGCGTCAAGGCTGGCCTTGAAACCCAGGGGCAAAGTGACGAGGACAGGATTGACGAAGCTGGCAACAATCATCCTGACCTGGCCCCCTCCCCCGGATGGCTCTCTCTCAAACCATTGCAGAAACCCCCAGCACCTCTTCAGGCCACTTAACGGGCAAAGCGCCAGCAAGCAACAAGTCTACAAGCCAGCCTAAAGCGTCGTGTCACGTGTTCAACTTTATGGCAACCAAGTACTTTTTATGGGGTGGGCTTGTTCGACAACTGGCGGTGCTCGTTTGGTGTTAGTTCGCTGGTTTGTCCTTGACATCCTACCACGAAATAAAACCTTCTCAATGAAAGACCTTTCCAACATTGCTGCCTCTCCATGAACTGGAGCAAAGAAAGCTGAGAGTTGAAATCTGGAGCGGCAGAGCGTAGAAAAAACTTGGAGGCTAGAGAAAAAAACAACACATGCTCATGGGAAAGCGTGCACCATTGTCTTTTGCTTACCCGGCATCATTGGCTGGCTCATCGACGAAGCACCTTTGAGTGCGAACGGAGATGACTCCAGAAGTAACAACTTTGGCTTTAGTCACTCCCAAGCGCACATACTTAGCCACCCCAACCCCTGCCAAAAAAGACCTTTTAAGGATTGCGGGGTCCAGAACTCCTGAGCTGCGGACCTCACAGGCGATTGCTTCACGTTCCTTGACCTAGCTGTGGGACTGCCAGGCAGCGAAGGATGACATCACTGATTTCACATCATCAGAGGTGCCTCGCGGCCATCGCGAAGGCGCCAAGGGCCTTGAGCCCCCTCACCCAGCAAGGCGACCTGGTCTGAAGGCTCAAACTTGTGAAGGAGTGCTATTGAATGGTAGCTCAGCCTGTGCCATTTCGCGTGAGTGAAAGCAATAGTACTTCAAACTGCTTCAGAGACCCAGCTCAGGCGAAGCGTCCCTGGCCAGTTCGATTCACAAGACCAGCATGCAGCTTTGTCTGCATGATCTTTGAAGCGTGCAGCTTTAATTGATGTACAAGACTGGTATGTCCACGGCATTGTTCAGCAAGTGTGTTGTGAGCGATGACTTCCTAAGTGGCAGAAGTTTGGCAGAAGTGTCAATGCTGATGTAGACCATCACAATGTAAACAGTAACGCAGAATCTGATGAAGACAAGATTCAGCACGCCCAGCACTGTTCTGCCCTTCAGGAAGGGCTCGAAGAGGTTGCCGATGCCAGGCATGCATTTCGTGCCTGCCACAAGCACCTGGAAAGGCATAGGCTCTCGCCAACTAACACCCCTGGCTCAGAACCAAGCAAAAGCTTTCCCTTCTTCAGGAGAAAAGGCACGTCACATCCGTTGTTGATGGCGGTGTCCAACAGCCTCTCCCCCAACAAGTGCCCACTCTGGACCTCAATGTGCGTTCCGATGACCTCTTTGATGCCACCTCCGCTTCCTGAAGGGAATCCCGGGTTTGTATCTCTCATCCAAAACCACGCTAAAATTTGTTTAGCCCACTTGGTAGTTGCAAGCCGTCGGTCAGCAAATGATTCGGAATATGGAATGTCCTGAAAGGATCTGTTCTGCTTCTTGGAACAGAGACTGCGCTTGCATCTGCGCCTGCTTGGCATCCTGCACACGACATTAAATGGTAAAATCAAGCAAATTGCTAAATCGGGATGCACATGCAGCTCCCAAAGTTGGGCTTTCATCACTCCTCCTGGCCCGTGCTTGCTGGAGCACCGCGGAATTTGCCGCGAGACACTGGAGCTGGCGGCACGTGCGCGTGCAAGATCTCCACAGTGTCCTGAGCCCGTTAAGGCGTTCGCAATTCTTAGGATCCATGGCCGGGTCGAAGTGTTCGGGCAATTATTTCAGGCCCATGGCATGCCTTCAGTCCTGAGAGTTGGTATGCCCTGCCAGAACTTCCAGCGCATGGCGGCTGGTTGAACAACCGTCATACACAACAGTGTACTTCAGGCCGCTGTCTTGTGCAGGCTGCCAATCTGTCAAAGGGCAAACCAACAGACGAATGTCGGAGTAGCCTCAGGGATGCTCATTCGTTGAAGGACAAAAAACCTGTGTTGAGCTATCAAAGGTGATTGTTTGCATTCCCCCCGGTAACAGAAAGTCTAGGCTAGGCTAGGCCCAGCCACTCTGCATGAGGTAGCTCGCTAGGGACTTGTGTAGCACCCGTCCAGGACCATGCGATCCCAAGGACACAAAGTTGGCATTGGACTTCCCCACAAAGGAAGTGACTGCAGCACCAGGTGACATAACTGATTGCACCTGCGTGTGCAAGGCATTCTGCTCCATGCCCGCTTGCCGAAAGACCTCTGTGACTGAATCCACGCTTGTCTGCGCAGCTTCTTGCTCCGCCAAGAACTTTGCATTGGCTTCCTCTGGGGTGGCCTCAGAGCGGAAGCTCTAGCAAAAGGACAACGACTGCTGATTTTTTGTTCGTGGGCGTGTCAACATCTCCTCCCCCTGAAAATGAAAATTGATTCTCCCCTAGGAGCTACAGCTACGGGGCCAAAGACTCGGGATCAAGCCCCAAAAACTTCGCGGCACAAACTCAGCTTCAAAACTGTAGTTGGGCATGAAGGATGGAGCCAACTCAGCCATCCCAAGCAAACTTGATCTAAGGAAGAGGCTGGCTATTTGAGCGAATCAACTCGCCCACTGAATGCCTAGACCAAACAACTTAAGCATCAAGACTGAGGTCCTGACAGCATCTTGGACAGCCGCCTTTACTGCACGGTAAACCTAGGCATGCGTGCAGTACAGTACGGACAGTACAGTACAACGCCATCGAATAGGAACACAAAATCTCCTCAACATTTGGCACAGGACCCAGACAGAGTCACCAGTCCGGAGCATTCGCGACATTATCATGGCGGCGGCAAGGGATTGCGGCTCACCATCCAAACAGCTCACCGCCTGCAGGCTGGCGCGGGTCACAGCCCTACACCATGTTTACTGGCTGAATTGACTCTGGGTTGCAGTTATGGCAGGTCTTGTGGAGGAAAATCTCACCGCAATGTGAAGCGGTCGCCACAGCTTCAGAGCCCGCATCGGGACCTCCAGGAATTCTATACAAAAACAAGTCATCCACATGGCCAACAAACAAGAAAGCCTTGCCACACGGCATCGAATGGCCAGGGTATTGGCTTCAGAATCGTATGTGATTACTTTCGTACTTAGCTAAATACAGTTGCGGTGAGTCGTATGCACATGTCTTGTAGCTGTTACGAACATCCTCACCTTCCTGAGCCAAATGCGAAGGCATTTGGACCATGATTTCATGCAGAGCATGTCTGCACATGCCTTGTGCTGGACAGAGGGCAGCACCGGGCGCAATCGCCCTGCGGATGTAAACTGCTGCACAGCCAATCGCACCTTCCATGCAGCAATGGCGTGTCGCATAAGAACGACAATAAATGAACCTAGTTCCTCAACTCCACATGACTCACATGACTGTTTCATCGACTGATTATGCGCACCCCTTCTTCTGCGCCATAGTCATCAAAAATGATGATGCTCACCTTAGCAAATTTGGAAGAGTCGAAGACTGAGATCCTCGCTGGCAGGTCAGGGAAGCAAGCTTGTTGCAAGAAAGCAGCGGTAGGGATCCGCAGGCAGTTGTCTATGTCCTGCATGACCTTGGGCGTGTTATGTTGCATGGACCCTTACTGTCACAGCCGAACGCGCAAATCGTGGCAAGCTCAGGCTTGAGCAGATTCAAAGTCATGAGATGCATCCAGGAAAACAACCTTGCACGTGTCAGTCATGCCACGCATGCACACGTTCCAAAAAGACTATGAAAGATTCAACTGCCTGATACGCAAACTAAGTTTTTGTTGACCACGTCTATGCCCTGAGCTACTGTTACCGGCTGCGACTTCGACAATGATCGTATTGATCGTAGCCTGGATCGCATTCAAGGAAAAGATGCCCCAATCCTTGGCCGAGTCATTTGTGGGGCAGGGCATGGCTGGGTGCTGTTGAGCTCTTGCAGGCAGCTTCGGCAAACACCACATGCAAAATGCGACCGCCGAAAATCGAGTTGTTCAAGCCCCTAAAGTGCAAAACCGCCCACACATCTGAGGTTTGAAAGATGTTCTTGTTCCGAGCCCTACAACTTGGTCATGCTCAGGGCCGCACATGGTCAGTGGTGTGGAATCTGTGACAGCAAACATCCCCAGAGAAAGAATGGCACTGCAGTCGAACCAAGTTCTGGCCTTATGTACAGTATGTTGTCCCGGTCATAGTTGTAGTCACGGTTGGCCTGAACAAGTACAGCTTTTGGCAAGGCTTGGAAATCAGTTTCAGGTTGCTGCAGAGTGCAAGAATTTTCAGCTCTGACCTTGTGCGCAACAAGTAGAAAGGGGATAGGACAGCGAAGCCGTGTCTGCAATCTCCAAGGGTGTTCTAAAAGTAAAGGAATGCCTGAAGGGTCGCGCCTGCAAAAGTTCAGGCACCGCATCCAATGCTATGACCTGACATATGAAAATTGGAGACCTAAACCTGCATTTACTGACACATGATCACTGGCAAGGGCCACTCTCTTGAAAAGGTGACTCAGAACGCGAGTGGTATACCCGAAGTAGGAGCCAACCTGGCGCACCGGCTATGTGCACTCATTTGCGCACGGCCACGTGACCTTTGTTGTGGCTGCTGCTGCTACTACCACTACTTAGCAGTTAGCATAAGGTGCAGCAGCACGGCCTCTAAAACGGTCAGGTTTTCAGAGAAGCCTGAGAGGTGCTCCCGCAAGTCCTGCCATCTCCCGTTGCCACCAGGCCAAGCCAATCTTCACGAATGTGGCAGCAGGCACTGTCCACAACAAGTCGACAAAGAGTAAATGTCAAAGCTCTCGTGTGCAAGCTGAACATCTTTTCGATGATTGCAGTGCGGCAACTTCATTCCTTGCTGCGGCAGTCCAATCCTAAGTATCCGTCGTTCCACGGACTGGCCAGTGACAAGGTTGGCCAAAGAAGCGACTACAGCACGAGACACCAGGGGCACTCGGTCACTGCACTGGCACACTGTCGCGCAATCTCAGTCTAACACCCAGACCGACATCCACGTAGTCGATTGCTGTGGCCGCATCTCAGGTCTGCCCGCTTGATCCAGTGCATCTGCCAGAAACACATGCAGGCTCGGAAAGCTGTTGTGGCTCAGAGCGTGATTGCTTCAAACGCACAGAAAGCCATCCTGAGAAACTTTACGGCGAGTACAAGGTGGTACACACACAATCCACCACAATACTGGTTTAACTAACTCGTTGCAACTCTTGGCAGCTCTATGAAGCTCTATGCAGCTCTTAGCGCGCCTGCTAATTGCCTGTCCCTTGTCGCTGCCTGGCCTCTGGGGGCTGTCGCACTTGTAAAGGCAAGATTTGCGGAAGCTGGTTGTTCAGGCCAGGCCTCCGAAATGCAGTGCTGCGGCTTCCCGCCTTTCAGACACGATCTGTTCAGCTCTAGATAGCCTCCGCGAATACCGTCACTCAGCTTCCTGCAGGCGCTGCGCTGCCAGCGGGGCATTTACCTCGGGAAGAGTGTGAGAAGGACTTGTGATAGCCGGACGGTGGCCAATATTGCATTCGGGATCCAGACAGGGTCGATGAGATTCATTGATATCGCCAGGCAGGCCTGCCTCACGCAGCCGCAAGCTGTCAGTCCATTAAGAGGGCGGAAGATGGAAGTTCACGCCTTTGTTTGCTTGCACGGCTTGTTTTGGCTCACAGTTCCAGATGCACCAGCACCTTTATGGGCTTCGTTGACTGCACTGGGCCATCAGCAGGATCTGTCAGCTGGTCTCGTGAACTCCTGCGCCCTCTTTCATTTCACGTGAGTTTGAATTGTCATGCTGCTGTGATCGCTTTTTCTTATTGGCAGGCTTGCAAGCTGCGAGTCATTGAGTGATTAGTGAAATTTGATGTGGAAGCTTTGGTTTTTGAGGCAACCCTTCTAGGCGTAGGAAAGACTCTGGGCGGCAGACTCTCCAAGGCACTCGAACTTGTGCACGACATCAGCAGGGACGTAGATCATCTGGCCGATGAAAGCATTTACATTGGAAAGATCGCCCGAAGATCGCAAGTATCATCAACATCATGATCGCCATCTTTATCATATGAGGAAGTACCAAGCTCCGGCTTAGAGAACCCTGAAGTCGCTGCATGGGCTCGAAAATCAACAAGACCACAACGGATTTCTTTGGTTCACACCTCGCCGGCGTCGAGAGTCACGTTGACGGTGTACCGTGCCAAGTTTGGATGTTGAAAAGCGTCCTGCAAGGCTCCTACTTGACTCGAATACAAGGCAGTCCAAACATGTCCAAACAAAGTGCCTCCGAAAGTGTCCATTCATGCTTGACCTCTACCTGGCAGTTTTGCCCTGTGGCATTGAGAGGGAGAGGAGAGACTGCGATGCAGAAATTCTTGCAAGCAGGCCACCCGCAGAGGTTCTATATGAACTAATTCTGTCCAAATGCGAAGAGTCCTTGGACATAGTGTAGACGCGTGCCCTGAGGCTGTTGCAAAACAGTTTTGGCTGAGCTCCGTGCCGATTGAGGCTAGACTGCCGTCTCGTCATGCCACTGACACCGGTGAACAAAGTCCAGCGGGCGCGTCCTGACCGACATAGTGATAAAGATCTCAGCGACTCGCTGTTGGTTGGGACCTCGAAGGTTAATCTGCCAGAAGTGACTTGACATGGAGTCAATTTGCAAACGAGACCTTGAGCAAACAAGATGAAGCAACAAGAAGTCACTCCGTGCTTGACTCTGCACCTATAAGCTTACGACGCAAAGCCGGGTGACACCAGGAATATGTTCGGATGCTCCTGCGTGCAACACATTTGGCAGACTTGAGGGGCGAGCCGAGGCCAACGAAAGCTAGGCAGGCTCTATCTACCACGGAGTAGGGTGGAAGAGGAGGGAAGGTACATGCCAACAACAAGCAAAGACCTCCTTAAGGGCCTGGAAAACCCATCGCAGAACCTCACCAACTCGACTCCAGTGTCCACTTCTCTTTGCACTCCAATTTCCGTTCAAGGCTCCTCCTCCCCTCTTTCCGGAAAAATCCCAGTCTTTGCTCCACGTTTCACTCCGCTGTCCAGTCTAACTCTGACTTTACTCTGAACCCCACCTTCACTCCAGAGACCACTCCAGTTTCGAATCCACTCTTATTCACTTTCTGCATCACTCACCACTCCACTCTGCACCCTCCGCTGCTTTTCCACCTCACTCGTTGTTGTTGTTGTTGTTGTTGTTGTTGTACGAGACGTCAACCTGCTCATCCTCAGGGATGTGGTTAAGAGCCCCTTTCCAGGAGCCTAGACGCCCTCTGGCAGGCGGCTTACAGCCGCGAGAACCCACGGCGGCCCGCAGTGTGTTGAACAGATTGGGTCTTCGCCGTGGGGTAACCATGCAAGGGAAGAAGAAGAAACCAAACAAAATTAAAAAGGGGAAACCTAGTAAGTGCACATCCCCTCGGGCCTGGCCAGTGAGAGGATGAACACTGGGGGAACTAAACCCTAGGGCCTCACTCGCCACCTCTTTCCACCGTACTTTCCCCTCACACCTGTTCCTTCAACTCCATTCCATTACGCAATGGCGCAAGTAGCGTAGTCCCGGCATTCTCTGCCAACGTCCAAGAGCCAGGACAGGCACGAGGATGGCAAGTCTCAGTGTCCCATCCCGACCACAAGGTCGCATGTGACGAAGACACGAACAGGTATGAGCATGGCAAACTGCGGGTGCCCTTGCCTACGACAGTGGGCATGTCTTACATGAGGTAAAGACACGAGGCTCCAAAGTGGTGACAGTTGCCAGGATGGCGACCCCAAGGAGCCTCATCCCTGTCACTTGTCACGCGCAACAAGGACATGACTCTCCAAAAGCAGACAAAGTTACCAAGATGGCTACCCCAGGGTGCAGCATCCCTGTTTCTGTTGGCACTGATTAACTTTTCACCCGCCACGAAGCAGCAACGCTTCCCTGCCCCGCCCCGCCCCATGCCCCGTGACTGTTTGCACCTTCGACATGCGACGCAGCAACGACGGTCCACAAGCGACAACACTTATAGGAGGATGGTGCCGGCGCGAATGCTTGGAAACGTTTGCCAACACTTGTGGACGAGTTGCGGACGCTTGCGGACACGTGCGCAATGAGTTAGCTCAGCCATGGATTCCAAGATCGCAACAGTGAAAACAGGAGCCCTTCCGTGGAGCACTCCGCAATGGGAAGGTCGCCTGGAACAACTAAGCAAGATGCTACTTGTAGCATGACCACACAACGTCGGGGACACTATGAAAGGGGAAGAGAGGTGTGATGACGAAGCGTCAACTTATCCGCGCTCTGGCCAAAAAAGGGGTAATGAAGAGAAACAAGATTGGATGCAACCACAAAGCAAAATGGTACTCGTACAAAGAGCACGCAGGAAACAAACACCAGAAGAGGAGAAGGCGACATGCAACGACCAGGCATGACGCGCTTGGTACCGTGACCGTTCAAGGGCACGCACTATCAAAGACGGAGTAGGGAGCCTCAG